AGTTCCCCAAATCACCCTAATGTTCAATAATGTGCTAGAAGGATTCACAGAACTCACTGGAAGCTATTATACTCATGGTGGTGGTTTATTATAGGGAAGGGATACAGATTAAAATCAGCCAAGGAAGAAGACATAGGGTGGAGTCTGGGCAAGTAACAAATGCAGAGCTCCCATTGTCCTTTCTCCGTGGAGTCAGGATGTGTTACTTTCCTGGGTTCAATGTGTGACAATATATATGGAGTTTGGCAACCAAGGAAGCTCACATAAGCCTCGGTGTCCAGAGTTCCTACTGGGGCTCCACCACGTAGGCATGGTTGCTCCCACAATCCCGATTCTGCCTTTTCTGTGATAATTTTTCTTTCTTTCCTATAACTTCTCTCTTTTAGAATTATAGAATATATTTTCTCATGTCATAGATTTTCCTTCTATTAATTTGAAAGTTTTATATTTTCTACTTTAAAAAAGTTTATAACCCAAGCAATGTTAGCATAAACGTTTAGTTCTTTAAAATCTGAAATCAATATCTCCTCTCAAGTAGTGAAAGCACCTCAGAACACTTCAAACCTGATCATCTCTCCCCTGACTTCTCTCTGAGTAATTTTAGATGTTTATCCTACCTTTTTTAACTTTTCAAAACAATACATTTATTATTGTTTTATATAGGTAATATTTGTTTAGATTAATTCACAATTTACTACTTTCTCTGCTCATCATTCTCTCTGGGATCATTTTTTTTTTCCACCTATGGCATGATCCTTTAGAGTTTAAATTAGTGAGGGTTTGCTGGTGGCAACTTTCCCAGTTTTTATGTGTCTGAAATTGTTTTATTTCATTCTCATTTCTAATAAATACATTGTTAAATAGGTGTTTTTAATAAAATAAAAATATATTTTAGTTCACTCATTTCTAAAAAATATCTTCTAAAAGATACTTTGTACAGTTTTACGGTGACAGTTAATTTTTCTCTTGTTGAAGATATTACTTCATTCTGTTCTGACTGTAATGATTGCTTTTGAGAGTTCAGCAGTAACCCTAATGGTCATTTCTGTTTAGGTAACATATCTAGGTGTGGATTTGTTTATATTTATTCTGCTTGAAGTTATTTGAACCTCCGGAATCTAAGGATTAGTATTCTTTCATCAGTTCATCAATTCTAGAACATTTTCAGCCATTACCTGTTCAAATATTGCATATCTTCCATTTTCTCTCATTTTCTGGAATCCTAATATGGCATTTACACTAGAACTTGATACTCTGTCCTACATTCCTCTCCTTCCTATTGTACTTTTCTTTGTGCTACATTCCGAAAAATTTCTTCAATTCTATTCTCTAATTCACTAAATCTTTATTTGGCTAAATCCATTCATTGATTTCTTAATTTTTTAAATTCTTTCTAAAATGTCTAGAAGTTTTATTTAGTTATTTTTCAAATCAGCTTCATTTAAAAAAGTATGTTTTAATGTCTCTTGCTCCTTGCAAGAGTATTTTCAACCCCCTCTTATTTTATATTTTGTATCTGAAAATTCCAAAAATCTCACGTATTTATAGGTCTATTTCTTCTGTTTATCTTTTATTCATAGTGCTTTGTTTCCTTGAGTGTTAAAATTTCTAACTGTGAGGTCCAGCTCCTTGGAACTTTAGCTGTGGGACTTAGATGAGGCTTGGTTCAAAGGTGGATTTCTCCAAAAAAGTTTTTGCCTTTGCACTGGGAGCACTTAGAATTTGGAGTATTTTCAGCTAAATTCTTGGCTTAATATTTTTGAAGATCTCATACATCGGATGCATTTGGACAACAAAATTGTGTGAGGGTTAGTTTGTGGTTACTAGTTCTCAGGGGTAATTTTTTCTTCTCCATAAACCAAGCTTCATAACAGGAAAAGAAACTTCCTGTCCCCTGGCAGATGCCAAGTGTGGGGCGGGAGGAGTAAGAGTGATTTGAAAGTTACCCTTAAGCCGAGAGTAGCTTTAAGAGAGGTGTCTTCTATTTGACTCCCCAACTTAGGAAGACCTTAGGGACTTTACTCCTGAAAAACCTGAGCTCTCTGTCACTGGGTTCAGCAAATGTTATCAGAGAAAACGCCAATGTACCTGTTTGGATTCCCATTTTCACTTGGTTTTTGGCTTATTAGGAATCCTCCTGTTTTGGTCAGCTTATCTATAAGATATTTTGAAAAACTTTTTGAGCATTTCTCGTGGTTGTCATTGATCAGGCCAGGCAGAGAAACGAGCCTGAAAAACTGAACAAACTTTCTCATTCCTTAAAAATTTGCTCATATCATATTAAAAATATTAAACGATACAAAAGTAAAAATATTTTTTTCCAATCTCCAAAATTCATCTGTTACCAGTCTTTTTTTTTTTTGGTGAAAATTTCCAGAGGTATTTTCTGTATATAAAAGCGTCCTTACCCATACCCACTCACTCTCCCACACATACCTTTTTAAGGGGAAGTGGTAGTGTATTGTTTGTACCCCAATTTTTCCATTTAGAATATATCCTGAAAAATGCCCATATCAGTGCAGATACAGATATGTCATTCTTTTTAACAATTGCATATTATTTCTTTGTGTGGAAGGACTGTAATTTGTTTAACTTGTCGTTTATTAAAGGTTATTTGTTTCTTGCCTTTAGCTACAACAGTAATTCTGCAATAAATGATCTTGTACAGTAGTTGCCTGAGCATGTAAATATGTCTGCAGTCTAAATTTTTCCTGTGAGGAAATTTCTGGGTCAAATGACTATTACCAATTTTTGTAACAATTATTATTGTCAAATTGTCCTCCAGCGAGATTGTCCCAAGTTGCACTCCACTAACAATGGATGGGAGTGCCTCTTTCCCTATACCATTATTAACAGAGAATAAGATCAAATGTTTATCTTTGCTAATCTAATAGGTGAAAAGAGGATCTCATTTAAAATTTTTTGTCAGGTGTAAAACCTAGTGAGTCAACATTTATATACATTATAAAATGGTCACCACGATAAGTCTAGTAACTATCTGTCACCATAGAAAGTTACTGCCTATTCTGTTTATGGCCATTGTGCAAAGATGGAGGTAGTTGAGGAGAGGCTGGCTGACATCTACCAGCCAAGTCATCCTGTCTATTCGGTTTAATGCCTTTTGTAAAGGAATGCTCTCTAGTGGGCATTAACATGTGATAAAAAGATCCTCAGACGGGGCCGGCCTGGTGGCATAGTGGTTAAGTTTCCACGCTCTGCTTTGGCCGCCTGGGGTTCGCAGGTTTGGATCCCGGGCTCGGACATACGAACTGCTCATCAAGCCATGCTGTGGTGGTGCCCCATATACAAAATAAAGGAAGATGATCACAGATGTTAGCTCAGGGCTAATCTGCCTCAGCAAAAAGAGGAGGATTAGCAATGGATGTTAGCTCAGAGCCAGTCTTCTTCACACACACACACACAAAAAAGATCCTCGGATGTTATGGCCACTCCCATTTGTCCATCTACCTGCCCCTTCCCCAGACCTCCTTCTCTCTGATCGTCCAAATCTGCTCCTTTTAGGCTCCAATCACCCACGAGCCACTGCACATGCTTCTGTGTATATCCTTACCTGGAACCACTTCTCTCTCACAAGGGGGTGATAACCAGGTATACTGCTTGAAGTCCTGCCCATTAGGACAATTTCCATTCCCCACTGTCTTGTAGCTCCCTCACCCCACTGGGGTTGAAGTGCAGAAGCAGTCCTTTTTTGACTTGTACCAACAGACAAAACCTACCGGAGTGTGAACACAGCCCAGGTTTTTCCCTCCATCACTTGGTCATGGGGGACTTTCCATAGGTGTGAGCCAAAGGAGTAGAACCAATGCAACAGTGGAAGGTGACTTGGGAGCCTGAGCGACCTGTATGTGCACCTTACTTGTGCTTTCTGAGCCTGTTTAAGCTTGATCCTGGATATACCCCACCTATCTTGTGATGGATTGAAGCTGGATTTGCCTGATCTTATGTCTTGGTGAATCAGACAGTTCTCATCTCATGGGAAATTCTTGCTACACAGTTACTCAATGTTCAACAGCCAGATGCTCCAGCTCTCTCAGGGCCCAGTTGGATGTCAGTAGCTGATTTCCCACTGCAGATAGTGTCATCTTGCTCCAGAAATCTAGAAGTATGCTTGCATCTTTCCTATTGGATTTCTAGTATCGTGGGATCTTCTGGGTCATATGGCCCAAGTAGTAGTGCTACTTATACCACAGCTTGTACAGCTCAGGTGCAGATCCCTTTCTTATTCTGGGCCACTTAAAACTCCCAGCCTTCCACACCACTCAATAAATGGGTTGGTTGCTAAAAACCTGTAGGACTGTGAGGAAAGCTTTATAGGGAAGAGGAAAGAGCTAAGCAGGGTATGGGCAAGTAAAGTCTTACATTGACTGGCTCCACAGGGTGGAGGGGGCACTCTGGAGCTTAAGTTGTATCACTGAGTTGTCTCCCTTGTGTCCTGAAATAAGCAAACACAGGCCCTGAGGTGGGTGATTGGCTCTGGTTAGGCAAGGAAGAGTCTGGAGAGACGGTCACAGGTGTAAGCTGTTAGCAATCACTTGCAGTAGCTGGGGTGGGTGTGTCAGGAGGTAAAGGAGTTCTGGGTGAGGCACCATCAGCATCTATGACATCCTCATTGCAATTTGAAAGACACAGGAAAGAGAAGTAAACAAAATCACCCTTAGTCACATTACCCATTGAAGCAACACCTGAGATATTTTGGGGGCCTGTCCATAAGGTTTTCCCCAAATAATTTTAAATTGTTAAAAATTTTTTTTATATAGTTGCGATTAGACACAATTTGTTATCCAAGTTTTTAAAGCCTTGTATCAATTGTCAGAAGCATTTCCCAATCACCATAAGAGTTTTAGAAACATACTTTTTAATGCAATACAAACAATTAAACACTTCTAATCCCAATGAAAAGAAAAGAGCAAGTAGCAACCTCTGATTTCATATGATATTTTCAAAAATAAAGGTCTGTATAGGGCTCATATATGTATCCAGGTTGCTAACTGTCACTGGTCAGGTATGAGCAGATAGCATGTGTGCTGGGTTGGTAGGCCCATAAACTGCAGAACATGGAGGGTCTGTGCATAGAGAACCTTACATTCCCGGGTGGTGAGTCCAGAATTACTGTGAAGAGACCATATTCACAGGCAATATTACACTAGGATCCAAAAATTCAAATGTCTACACGGGAAGGCAGATAACACAAACAGATGAGCATCAGGCCAAGAGAAAGCGTGCATGCCCAAAGGGAGAAATTGCTAAAGCACATTGTCATGACACACCTTCTGATTATTTTACCTGGAATCCAGAATTATTGTGTGTGTGTGTTGTTAAATCTTCTGAGTTTTAAAGATTGGCCCATTTTCTGCAGACAAAATTTAAGTTAAATTCAACAGTGAGTGGTGGCTTCTGTTTGTGACATTTGCACTAAGCTTTGTGCTGCTTGGGAGCAGTCAGAGACAGAATGCTGTCCTCATGCTCTGAGGTCTCATAGGCTGCAGTTGACACATTAAGAAACAAAATTGTACAATAACAGCCTCCAGCTCCCTAATCTCTTAATCTTAGTCCTTCTTTCTGAATTTCAAATCTTTCTCACTGTAGCTTCAAACATGTCCCAGAGCCTGGCCAAGGTGTTTGCCTTGGGAGGTCTAACAGTGAGCATCTCTATTAAAAAGGCAGCCTGTATGGCAAATCCCAAGCTCTATGAATTTTTTTCCAGAAAAAAAATATGTAGATGTTAAAATAAATACATAAGCCTCAACTTCCAATAAAGTAATATGGCTGTAGAAGACAGAGGTGGATTTGGTATCATTTATAATACAGAAGAGGGGAAACAATTACAGAGAAACAGAGATTTCTAATTAAAGGAAGAGTATTATAAATAGCTACATGATAAAACCTGAATGAAATGGCTAAATTCCTAGAAAGAGATAAAATTTCAAAATCAATGCAACAGGAAAATAGAGAACTTGAATCAACCAATAAGAATTAAACATATGAAAATGATGATCAAAGATCCTCCCTCTCAAAACTTGCAAACCCATGCAATTTTATGAGTACAGTTTATCAAATTTTCAAGGAAAAGCTAATTCTAGTTTTACATGTTATATCAGAAAATTGAAAAAATCATACTTATTTATGATCTTAGTAAAATAAAGTTTAATACACTGGCTCTAAAAACTTATTGGATGAATTAAAGACTAAGGGCCATGATAATCTAAGTCAACCTTATAAAGAATGCGTTCAGGACTACTCTACCAGACATTAAGAAAACTAGAGGCTTCTCAATTTTGTTGGTTTCTTTTCTGCCTTCTCTGGTTTTCAACATTTTATATGATTCCATTTTATCTCCTTTCTTAGCATTTCATTGATTTTCTCTATTGTTTCCCTGTCTTCAATTTTATTGATTTTTGTGTGTGCGTGTGGGGAAGATCAGCTCTGAGCTAACATCCATGCCAATCCTCCTCTTTTTGCTGAGGAAGACTGGCCCTGGGCTAACATCCGTGCTCATCTTCCTCTTCTTTATATGGGACGCTGCCATAGCATGGCCTGACAAGCAGTGCATTGGTGCACGCCCGGGATACGAACCCCGGGCAGCCAGCAGCAGAGCACACGCACTTAGCCACTACGCCACTGGCCAGCCCTTATTGATTTCTGCTTTAGTTTTTACTATTTCTTTTCTTCTGCTTGCTTTAGGTTTAAACTGCTCTTCTCTTTTCTGGTTTCCTAACGTGGAAGCTTAGGTTATTGACTTGAGAGCTTTCTTTTTTTCTAAAGGATACATTTAATGATATAAATTTTCCTCTAAGCATTTTTTTTTTTTGCTGCAGTCTATACATTTTGGTAAGTTGTATTTTCATTTGCATTTAGTTGAAAGTATTTTTAAGTTTCTCTTGAGACTTCTTCTCTGACTCATGGGTTATTTAGAAACATGGTGTGTAATTTCCAAATATTCAGGAGCTTTTCAGATATTTTTCTATTATTGATTTCTAGTTTAATTCTATTTTGCTCAGAGTATACACTTCTGATGATTTCCATTCTTGTAAAACTGTTATGGGGTGTTTTATGGCCCAGTATGTGGTGGATATTCCAGACAAGCTTGAGAAAAGTGTATATTCTGCCATTGTTGGGTGGTGTATTTTATATGTGTCAATTAGATCAATTGATAGTGCTGTCCCGATGATCTATGTCCTTACTAATTTTCTACCTGCTGTATTTACGCATTACTGATGGAGGGATAGTGAACCTCTAACTATAATAGTGGGTTTCTCTATTTTTCCTTTCAGTTCTATCAGTTTTTGCCTTATCTATTTTGACTCTGTTGTTAGAGGCATACACATTTAAGATTATTACGTCTTCAAAGAGAATTGACCACTTTATCATTAATGTTTCTCTTTATCCCTGATAAACCTCTTTGTTCTGAAGCCTACTTTGTCTAAAATTAGTATAGCTACTCTAGCTTTCTTTTGGTTAGTGTTAGCACGGTATATCTTTCTCCATCCTTTTACTCTTAACTTTAGTCTTTATATGTAAAGTGAGTTCCTTATAATATATGGTTGACTCCTATTTTTTTACTCCACTTTGACAATCTCTGTCTTTTAATTAGTGTATTAAACCATTCACATTTAAAGTGATTATTTATATAGATGAATTAAACATTTTCTGCTTGTTGCATTTGTTCTTTGTCTCTTTTCCTCCCTCTTTTTCTGCCTTCTCTGGTTTTAATTAAGAATTTTATGATTCTATTTTGTTTCTTAGTATATCAAGCATACTTCTTAAAAAAATTTTTTTAATGGTTGATCTAGAGTTTACAATATATAGTTTCAACTAATCTAAGTACACTTTTAAATAACATACAGTTTCATGTGGCATGCAGGTACCTTATAACAGAGTATTACCAATTCCTTCCTTCCATTCTTTGTGACATTGCTATTATTCATTTCACTTATCTCTATGCTATAATCACACAATAAGTTGTTGCTATTATTGCTTTAAACACAGTTCTTCTTTAGATCAATTAAGAAGAATAAAAATAAAAGATTTTATTTTACCTTCATTTATTCCTAATACTCTTTGTTTCTTTATGTAGATCCAAATTTCAGACCTGTATATCATTTTTCATTTCTCTGAAGAATTTCTTTTAACATTTCTTGCTTGCAGGGTAGGTTTACTGGTGATGAATTCCTTCAGTTTTTGTTTGCCTGAGACAGTCTTTATCTCTCCTTTACTTTTGAGGGATAATTTTGCTGGATATAGAGTTCTAGGTTGGTAGTTTTTTCCTTCAACACTTTAAATATGTAACATCCATTCTCTTCTTTCTGACATGTTTCTGATGAAAGGCCCCCTGAAATTCTTATCTTTGTTCCTCCATGTATAAGGTTTTTCATTCTTCAGCTTTTTTAAAGGTTTTATTTTCGTATTTGATTTTTTGCAATTTGAATATGACGTGTGTGTGGGTGTGTTTGGTATTTATCCTGCTTGTTCTCTGAGCTTCCTGAATGTGTGGTTTGGTGTCATTAATTTTGGAAAGTTCTCAAATATTTCTTCTGCTTCCTACTCTCTTTCTTCACCTTCTGGTATTCCAATTATGCATATGATACACCTTTTGAAATTGCCCCACAGTTCTTGGCTATTCTGTTCCTTTTTTTTCTTTTCTCCCATTCTTTGTTTTCCAACTTGGGAGGTTTCTATTGATCTATCTTCAATCTCATTGATTCTTTCCTTGGCTGTCTCTAGTCTACTGACTAGCTTATTGAAGGCAATAAGCTGTTATGGTGTTTTTGATTTATAGTATTTCTTTTTTATTCTTAGACTTTTCACCTCTCTGTTTACCTTACTCTGATGTGTGTTTTCCAACACCACCAACTGAATTGGAAAGACACACTCCTCCTGTGTTTCTCCTTTACTCTCACACTGCTATCATGCTCACAATACTCCTGACACCAGATGTATGGTTTTTTCCCCTACACCAAGAAATTTTCCAATTCTGTGTGGACACTGACTAGGTGTCCTACAATTTAACTAAATTCTGACACTATCTACCTGGAGATAGCATCAAATCCCACAGGTTAAGTGCTCAGTCCCACAAGACTGCCCCACTTCCTCGAAGCCCTGGCCTATGTTGACTATTTTTCCCCCTTAGGTGAGACAGTAGGGCTGGAAGTGGGTAGAGTGTGGAGGAATGCCCTTCCTCCATCTGGGATAAGGCTCTGGCAAAGTCCTTTCCCCTGGAGAGTGGGCCTTTATATGGGGAAGGCTCTGGGCTTATTTCACAATGATTCCTCTTCCCCAGAGCCAGGAGGGGATCTTTCTCAGAGCTTCACTGTGAGAACATGCTGGAATTCCTGGCGGTAAACCCAACTTAGGTGTGGGGCCCTTCAAAGACTTTGATCCCCAATAGTTTCTCACTTTCGCGCTAATTCATACTCAGCCTACAGCAATTCGTTAAAATTGCCATTTAAGTGTTCCTCCCAGTTTATAGCTTCAGGTAAGTAGATCTTGGCTGTGTCTCTCTGAATGATCTTGTTTCTCCAGATTTTGGGATGGCAGTTTGCCTTCAGTTCTCTGGTGGGTCAAATAAAAGTAATTTATTTTCAGTTTATCTTGATTTTGTTGTTAAAGATGGGAATGACCACTTCCATGCCAGAGATAAAACCTGAAGGCTGGAAGATAAAACCTGAAACCTGAAGTTGCTATCTATGAACCAGTCCTACATGGATAAGTTTAGCACACTTTTGTTTTAAGCACATAAAAGTACTTATTTTATCACCCACGTTCTAATTTGGCATCAGCCAAAATTTCAAGACATCAAGAAAATGTTCCATTTAACAGCCTATAACATAAATTTGCATACCTGGTACGTAGTACTTTGCAAAGTGACTGAAACTTAACAGACATTCAGTACATATTTTTGAAAGGAATAAAGGAAGAGATAGGGAGACAGAGAAGTTATAAAGGAGAAAATGAGGAGGAAAGGGAGAATAAATAGAAATCATAAGTAGAAAGAGTGCCAAGATCCAAAGTTTGTCCAAAATTAGATCAACATAAATGGCCTACATAGAGTATACTGAATAGTAACATAAGTAGAAACTCAAAGTAGAGCATTATATTTTCTCTTTCTTAGTATACTCTCAAAAGATTTTAGATTACAAAGAATTAAAAGAATATTCATTCTATAAAAATCCATAGCTCTAAATAATTCCACTTCCCCACAGTGAAATACTAAAATACTCTTAACATACAGGTTAAAAAATGTCAATATAAATCTGATACAAAGAGGTTTCAAGTGGTACCAGACACATTGCCACAAACTAGAAATTCAATGTCAGAATTTAGATAGGGGACATAGTAGAGACTGATGTTTATTGAGCATAGTATGTATCAAACCCTAAATTAGGCATTTTGTAACTGTCAACTCACTTAATCCTTGCAACAGTCATATGAGGAATTACAGTCATTTGCAGAATTGGAAAAGGGTTTTGGAAAGTTCAAGTCACTTGACCTAAGTTGCATAGCTAAACTGATTTGAATCCCCATCTGTGACTTGAGAGAGCCTATGGCCAAGATTACTAATGCCCCCTTTTCCCACTTCTAGAAACCTCTGCAGTTATTAGATGGAATCATGGCTGCTGTGATAAAAACTACAATCCCCAGTCTCACTTGCATCTGACTAATAATGTTTGAGGAGAGTGTTGTGTGGCTGCTTCTAGAAATATTCTTAAAAGGCAAATTGATGACTTTGTCCTTTTTGTCTTTATCCCTTCCTACATCTGCTGCCTGAAAGGTGGCTAGAATGGCTGCCATCTTGATGATAATAATGATGGTGGCCATACTCTTGGGATAGCTGAGTGAAGCACTGTCAGTAGCCCAGGTCCCTGGAACTTCATAGAGCAGAATCAACAAAGAAGACATGGTTCACCTACCTCTGGACTTTCACACGACAGAGAGTACACATCTTAAATTGCTGTTATTTAGGATCATTGTTACAGCTGAACCTCTTTTTCAAACTAATACAGAGCTCAATACCTTGTAGAGGAGGGCTGCACATAGCAGAAATGGAAATACGTGGTATAACTAAAAGTTTAAGTTCTCAGGTGGGAAGTGGCAAGTGCTCAGAATCTTACAGTCTAGAAGTCTGGTGATACTTTTTGGCAGTGGAAACATTTGGTTCAAACTGACCTTACTTTACCTTGAAAGCTATATCACCCACTGAGTAAGATTGTAGCATGAGGGGAAAAGGTAAGAAAAATTCAGAATTTTGCTGTGGCTTGGATTATTCTGCTGCTTTAAGCAGAGTCTCACAGAGTTGAACTCACGCTGGAGAGCACCCATGTGCAAGCAGAAGGGAATACAACTGTATTCCAAGAGGCCCTCTCTACCTGCAAGCTTGATTGATTGAGAGGGTGGCAATCTGGAGCCTTGGATGGTTCAAACAGCCAATACCCTCTGTGCCCGATTGGAAGCCCTTGGAAGTGTGGATTACAGACAATGGCCTTAGCAGAAGTAAGACTGTGGTCCTAAGCCTTTTTCCACTTCCTTCCATCAAGGGTTGTCTGCCAGACATAGAATCCAGCAGAGCAGCAAACATCAAATGATGGGTGTGGCCTTTCTCCTAAACCTCTGCTTCAGATGGCCCCAAGAGAATCTCCACTAAATGGAAAGAGAGAGAGGGAAAGAGGTAGGCAAGGGCAGAGCACAGATGCCAGTAACAGAGCACAGTATTCAGGCTTAAAGCATTATCTAGGCAAGATCTTTGGCAGTGGTTTAAATGCCCAATGGGTTGGATGAAATAAATATACCAGAAGCCTGCTGAGTTATTGAAGGAATTATATTGTCAAAGCAAACAGAAGCCAGGCTCAAAACAGTCTGTAATTCTTCACACCTCTAGTTTGAGGTGTACAATCTGTGCAGTCTTGAGGAAGGATATAGTCTGCAAAGCTTACCACAGATGTGGCCTTGGAAAAAAGTAAACAACACAGAGCCTCCAGGGCTACGGAAGGCAAGGGCGAGGGGACAGTTCACAGAGCGGAACCAGACAGGACCACCTGAGAAATTGATTCCTTGTGCTTCTTCCTCAGCATGATTCCATCACTATGGACCATCACTGTGTTTCCTCTGCCCACCTCCTGTTTTTGAACAGAAGGTTCTTTTTTCTCTTTTCTTTCTCTCTCTCTCTGTCCAATTATGGCTATCCTGCTTCCCATGCACCATTGTATGTTGAGTGTGATGGGGGTAAATCATTTACCTTTTATCTTCTTGGTCATCAGGCCATAAAGAGCCATTTCTGGATCTGATGGAGAGTGCTGCCCTGCACCAGGAATTCTGAACCTCGTGAGGCATGCAGGGACTGGGCAGGGCTTTGACGTGCAGTGGGTCTGTGGGTTCTATCTGATAATAAGAGGATACATAGATATTTGGGGAAGTAGACTGTGGCAGAAGCTGTAAGTTGACACCCAACATTTGTTCTTCCCTTTCTCCACAGTAATGGAACCCCTGACCTTTCACTCGCTCATGGCACTGCAAAATAGGGACCATACTCAGCATCTTTTGCAGGTCGGTTTAGTCACGTAACTAATTTTGGCTAATAGAATGTGGTGTTTGTGGAGTGTGTAACGTCCATGGATTCTCCTTAAAGGACATAGAATGCCTTCTGCCTTCTGGATTCTTGCAGGCTGGAATGTGGGCATAAGGGCTGAGGTTTCAGTGGTCATTGTAGACTGTGCTCACAAATGATGTTTGGCCTGTAAGCCATGCATAGCAAGTACACAGAGGAGCTTGGGTCCCTGATCCTGTGAAGCACCCTTCCAGCCTGAACAGCTACCTCCAGGCTTTATAAACATCAGGGAGAAAAACACTTCTACTTTCTTTAAGTCCTTGTTACTTTGGGGTTTTCAGTTATCTTAGCTGAATGTAATCCTCACTAATAGAGTGAGTCTTAACGCAGAAAGACCAGCTGGGAAACTATTGCAATGGATTATAAGAGCCTGAACTAAGGCGGTAGCAGTGGGGTGAAGAAACCTGCTAGTGATGGTCAAGAGGCAGAGTAGGCTGGATTTGATTGCTAATTGGATGGGGAGGTGAGAGATGAAGTGAAAGCAAAAGTAGAGCATTACACCTGGGTTTCTGGCTTGGACGGCTTGGAGGGAGCATGGGAGGAAGAGTGATGGGCATGGTTAGGAGCCCCCAGGGGAATCTACAAAGTGAGAAATCCAAGGAGAGAACCTTGAAGAACACTAATAATTTAAGGAGTGAGCAGTGGAAGAGGCCAGTAGGCAGATGACACCAGGACCAAGGACAGAGAGGTTAATAATATCAGTCGTGAGAAGTAAAATAAGATGAGGGATGAAATCCCCAGGGGTCTTTTTCATAAAAAGAGTTGATGAATGTGAAAGCCCGATGGCTTAAGGAACCAATGTGAGGTGTGGGGATGGACAAATTACTCTAGGCTGCATTTTAAATGATGTAACTAATGGAGAGGAGAGATAATTTCTGCCATACTGGGATGGAGGTTTTGTAAAGTTTATTTTTATTATTTTTAAGTTTTGCATGGTCTTTAGTGTGCTTATAGGACACAAGGGAGCAGCTTGTGGTGGAGAGGTTGAGATGTGGGAGAGGGACCTCCAAGGAAGCCCTGGAAGGCCCTCAGTGGAGGGCACAGGCTGCAGGCTCAGCCTGAGCAAGTTCACTGCTTTCTGAGGCTGAGAAAAAGAAGGGAGATGGAGGCAGAAATAAATGCCTTTGAAGATATTGGTTTGGGGACCTGAGGGAATTTATACTTTCCAGCTTCAGTTTTCTTGGTGGGGTAGGAGAGAACGGTTATCCTTGGGAAAGAGTAGGTGACAGAATTGTGGTGGGCTTGAAAAGAAAGGTCTGAAAGACCACCATGGGGAAGAGGAGAAAGAGCCAAGAGGTGACAGGTCTACCTGGCTTTGTATGGAGGACCAGTGTGATTTCAGTGCTAGCTTTTGTAAAATGCAATGATAAAGACCAACATGAGGCAAATCAATGGTGTCCTAGGCCTTGAAACAATAACTAATGACATTGAGCTGAGCTGTCTTATCTGAATCATCACTGCTTCAGTTAGTGCTGATCCACAGTAAGGATATCCAGGTGCATGGGTACTGCATGGGTACAGATGACAGAGCCTTCTCCATTACCACTCTACAAGCAGATTCCCCAAGGGATGAGCACCAATGACTCGTGCACCTGTTATTGGTTTCGTTTCCAATTTGATAGCAAGCTTATGAAAAAAAAAAAAAGGGAATCTAGGCCACAGGCTCTCCTCAATGGCCCAGTCGTGGCCTATCCACTGGCAGCAAAGGGAAAGTGTTCAGCAGCTTAGAAGGGAGGTGAGCTGGGGATGCATGGATAAACCCCAAACAGGTCACTAGTCTGGAAATGTTGAAGGTACCTCGACTGCCATGTGATCTCTTCACAGGACCATTCAGCACGGCAGGGATTGCCTCACATCAGCTTTCGTCTGGTGGCCCAAATTCTCAGTCATGTTTCTCTCAAGTGCTGACTCTCAGAGGTTTGAATTAGGTTTTTTCCAAGCATCTTCAATTCACTCTACTTCCAAGATTCTAAATGATTTTAATTGACAAACTGTGACCACCTCAGAATTAGGACACTAGGAGCGTAAAGATCATCTGTGGCCTGGCTTTCCTTTTCTATCTTGGCGTCTGTAGGGACTGAATGTTTGTATCCCCCCACATTCATACATTGAAGCCCTAACCCCCAGTGTGATGGCATTTGGAGATGGAGCCTTGGGGAAGTAATTAGGGTCAGATTAGGTCATGAGGGTGGGGCCCTCATAATGGGATTAGTGACTTTATAGGAAGAGGGAGAGCAAGATCTCCCTCCCCATGCCAAGGAAAGGCCATGTGAGGACACAGTGAGAGAAGAGCCATCTTGAATCACGAAGAGAGCTCTCACCAGAAGAATAATCAGCTAGCACCTTGATCTTGGACTTCTTAGCCTCAACAACTGAGAGAAAATAAATTTCTGTTGTTTAAGCCACTCAGTCTGTAGTATTTTGTTATGACAAATTCTTCTTAGTTCCTGAGCAGCATGGTAACTCCAGGGTGCTAGATGATGCCATCCTGGAGGGCAGAGTGCCCAGTCTTGGGGGGCAGCCCTGTCCATTAGCCTTCCATTTCACAGGCCTTGCTTAGGTGTTGGGCTTTTGATCATGGCTTCATTAGGATTAAATTTCAGATGGAAACTGGTTATGAAACACCAGTGCTGAGAACACTTGCTCCCTAGTGGTATTAAATCACCTTGTTATTTATTGCCTTCTAGAATCCTCTAATTTACATGTGGTCTTTTCTCATATGAGTGCTTCAAGTAAATCTGAATTTGTTTAGACAATTTTATGGGTATTATAAAACCACAATTGGGTTTCAGGCCTTTGTAGTCGTCCAGCCAAGATGCACTCCAATTAGAAATAATTGCTGTTAATGCTGTTATGATGTGGTGGATGCCCACTACACCCCAGATCTTTGTTCTACTAAATCCCCTAAGAGTTCTTCTTTATTCTTCTACTAAATAGGCCCCTGGAATATACGCTTTTGGAATTGTAATATAGGAGCAATATTGTGCCTCTCTCTTAATTAACCTGGTTAACCAAGGATTTGGCACATCAGTTGGTTAGTCTAAGAGGGCCTTTTGATTCTCTCAGTACACATCTACAGTTGAGTAGGATGTCACTCTTGCAAAATAAAACACTTTTATTCTTTGGCATACACCAAATACCTTTATTATTCTTTGAGTAATTATGTGATATTGTTGTTTAACGAAATAATGTGTGTAAAGCGCTTAGTTTCATGCCAGGCACAATAAATACTTGCTTTCGTTTTTAATATCATAAAACAAGTTTTTTTTTTTTTAAAGGCTTTCTGAATGTAAAGGAAATACAGGGGCAAAGTTGTCAGAATCAGGCAGGCAGCTCAAGATAATCAGTCCACAGTGGATTCCAGACTCCACATTCCCTGAGACTGTTGCCCTTCTAAGAGCATCTTACCCCAAGATATTCAAGCTTTCATTTCTTTTGACTTTCACAGGGTCCTCCAAGGTACCTCTCATCCCTCCCTGTTCCCCACACAAAAGAAGGTAGGAGACAAAGGCTGCTGTTTTTTTTCTTAAGGCAGGTGCCCCCACAGCCTGGGAAGGAGTCCCAGGGATACGGTAATTAATGTATTTTTCTTAATCATGCATTTATAGTTAATCTCCAAAGCATGACAGCAGTTGGCCAGTTAATTACACCATAAGAATACAACAGATCTGAAATGAAGGCAGCACTGATGAGTACAAATGCATAGAACTGTCCATTCTATAGAAAAATACCCCAACATGAATCCCAACTTGAAATACCAACTTAAAAACCTGAAATTAACCACATTAATATGTTTTCTGGATTAATAAGTAGAGTTCATCTAACTTAGTAGAATGTCATTTTCAGAGAAGAAGCAACCATTCTTTGATATCTTCTAAGAAAAAAATGTGATTCTATTTAGAGTTTGGTCTAGGATCACTGCCTACTAAGGTCATTCAGGAAAGGTACAGTAAGGCTCCCTAACATGGTGGCACCTGATGTACTTTCTGCAGGATTGGCACTTTGTCTGTGAGTACCCAGGGCACGTAGAAGTAAGCGTTCGTGTGGCTGCTTTGGAAAGAAGGAGAAGCGAGGCTGACCTTTTATACACTGGATGGCACAAGTTGAAAAAGGCCAAGGCTGAGCTGAGAGCAAGGTGATGGGAAGTTCAGAGCTCAGAGTCCTCTGGAGAGAGGGTATTCCAACCAGACACTCACCCAGCTCTTCATCCCTAACCCCGGTTCCCCAGCGCAGGCTCAAGCACAGACACCTGCTCCATTGGAGCCACCTCTCCAGTAACCAATGTGAAGGGCGGTTCATGAGAAAGCAGGTGATCTTCCATACCTGTTGCAAGCAGAAACAACGAAAATGGGCTGTTTTTTTATTTAAAAAAAACTCAGCAAGAAAGCAGATAGCAACATTATTTTTAAAGGCATTGGTTGAAAATACTAGTCCAGACAGCATAATAAGAATGGTACTTGTAGTCTCCAGATATATTCTTTTGGACAAAAATAGGTTTCTTCATTGAAATAAGCATTATGTGATACTGGGTATCACACGACGTCAGGCACAGAGCTGATCTTTAGTCTTGCTTCTTGTGGCCAAGGAAGCCATCCATTAGAGTAAAGCCGCCCAAATATTCAGTCAACAGCAGTGCCGCCTTGAGGGGCATGAAACTAAAGAGAACACAAGAGCAAACTTTCTTGGTTATCATTCGTGAAAGCATCTCTACCAGCTCAGCCGGAACGCAGCGTCACTGAGTTGTCTCAGATGAAGTCATTCACACGTGCACACATTAGCGTGTATGCCTTAGGGTCACCCGGGCTTGTCCACTACGGGGGAGGACACTGGCCCAGGGTCTCTATATATCTCTCCTTGCTTTATTTCCATTATTCAATGCACTTCTCATGTTAATTTCCAAAGCTTCGATACTCTGTAATGACTGATAGGAAGCAGTGAAGTCTTGTGGGGTCAGGTGAGTCTGGCGTGAATCCTAGCTCTGTCATTTACAATGCCATCTCAAGCAAGTTACTTAGCTCACGAGCCTCAGTTTCTTCCAGTATAAAAAGAGATCATCACTCTTTCTTTCTGGGACTACTGGGAGGATTAGATGCAGTAGCTCCTCAGACCTTTGGCAAGACCCAACTAAGACTGTTCATCTTCTCCAGCCCACTCGCCCCTCCTGACAGAGCACTCTGGCTCCATAGATCCTGACGTCCACACTGCAGAGCAAGAAACAGCACAGTCAACCTGAGACTTGTGCTGAGCGTGGGGTAAAGAAAAGGACCCTGTGCTCGCCGTCCCTCTGGGGGCACCCCAAGATATCCAGGTGGCTCCTGCCCTCTGCAGCTTCAGGTCTCCGGTCAAACGTTACCTTCTGTTTGAGACCTGCCCTGAGCACCAGACTGAAAATTAAGTCTCAGCTCGCAGCCCTCTACCTCCCCCTCTGGGACTTCCTTTTCCTGCTGTATCTTTCTCCACAGCACTGCTGACCACCCAGCATACCTTTTCTGTTTCTGCACTTTTTTGTTTGTTCTTTGCCATCTCCACCCCCCACCACCAAGAAGATAATGTCCACGAGGGCAGGGACTGCTGTCTCTCTCATTCTTTCCTGTAACCTCAGATCCTAGGACAGTCAGCAATGCATGCACACAGTAGGTGCTCTCTAATGCTTATTGAATGAATATTTGAAGGAGTGTGTAATGTAATCCCCTTCACTGAACTTCTTCATGTTTCCAAATCCTTCTCAGGAGCTACGTAGATCTCTCTTAAACCAGGGCCTGGAACTAATATCCTGTAAAAGTAAATATAACCTCAATAATTATTCAAAAATACTAGAAAAACTAAGTCCCATGTTCTTTACAATTGGCATTACTATACTGCAAACCTTTATCTATTAGGCAAGAGGTAGTGAGCACACACACTGCCCAATAAATAGTGCATGACACTCACTAATCTACAAGCTGTAACAAGCATTAGCTTCTATGTGGTAAATGAGGAAACTGGGCGAGAGTAGAGGGTGTGCTCAGAGCCACAGACTTAGTAACAGCAGGATTACAACCCCAGATTTCAAACTGCTTGTCAAGACCCTTTGCCCTGCCCCACACAGCCTCAGTCAGCCATATCACTGCTGTGCTAGGTGAAGCCTGGCGAAGTGAAAGGATGTAAGAATGATTTTGGTTCACCATACAGAGGAGATACAATTAGCTAAAGAAAGAAGCTATTTCCTTATGCAGGAAGGGCAATGGCTGCTAGCCACACGGTGGACTTGAGGCCTGATACCTGTTTCAAATAACTGAAGAATTGTTGTTGTCAAGAGGAATGGAATTACTCACAGTGTTAGAGGGCAAAGCTAGCACCAGTGGAAGTTAAAATGAAACAGGTTTCAACTCAACAGAGGGGAGTGGTTTAATAATTAAATATGCTTCCTTGCAAGGCAGAAAACCTGCTTGGGGAAGTATTAGACGAGGGGGAAGTATTAGGTGACCTGTCACAGTCTAGGGAATGAACTGACACAGTGGGGTCAGCAGGTGCGTCAGCAATTCAGAATTTCTGAACCTGGGTCAAATGTTCACAAACTGCAGCCGATGAGTCGCAGCAGTGAAACCCAATGGAGAGCGGAGAAGGATGGGCAAAGACACTCTCTTGTGCTTTTAAGAGGTGGTTATCTTTTCAGTTTTTTTTCCCCGTAGTTCTTTAACCATCTTATAGTTCAAATTTATCATTACCATTACCTATTACCAGTTTTACCTGTACCACAAATTCCTGAAACATTTGGCTTACTGTCTGGCGTTGACTTTGGGCCCTGTACTCGAGGAACCATGGACACATATCTGTTTCAATATGACTATTCTATTCTGAGCACAAGAAAAATTGCCTCTCCTAAAAAAAAAAAATCATTTCAATCTGTCCACAGATCATTCAGTAAAGCCACTTCTTTTTGACAATAATGCAATACTAAGAAGACTGGAAGGATCCAACTCCATTTCCTACACTCATGGGAGGCGCTGCAATGATGCAAATTTGAGATTGTGTCAGCAAATGCGCACAATGAAGAGAGCAAAATTCATTCATTTAACGGATATTTTTTAAGTGGTTCCTCCTGGTAGGATCTAGAATAAGTTGTTGATTGTCACATTAGAGAAAGAATAGAAGCTGATATTCTTACCTTTTTAAAAACATCATGAAATACAAAAACCTCGGGATATACAAGTACAGTTTTTCTTGCAGGATGGCATCTACTATCTTTCTGACGGCATATTCTGGTTCCAGAATCGGTAACAGAGTAGGACACCTGGGGACAAAAAACCCCCAATTAACAAATTAGTAAAAACAATTCTTACAAACTAGGGATAAGACGGTTGTAAGAGATTATCATTTATTCGCTTCCTTCCCTTCCAGATTTGACCGATTTCTATATTTATTCCCTTATCAACATGGTAATAACATAACTAGAATTTGAAATGGAGAGTGATGATTCTAATTAATACAGTGATGTTACAATATACATATATGTGAAACCATATTAAACAAATGGTCTAAATAACGTAAAGCAAGTCTTTGAAAACTAACTGCCTGTCATCTCTCTGAGATGCAGACTTGGGCATTTGTGCCCCTTCAATGATTTCCAGTCCTTCTGTGGAATCAGGGAAGAGGGCAGAGTGGAGCTGGGTGGCAGAGAAAGGATGTGACCAGGAGCGCCGAGGAGACAGATAAGCAGATCCGGGCTGCAGTGTGGGTACGGGTGGACACAGCCTTGATTAACCATTCACATTAAACTCAGTATCTTAAACACAAACACATTTGAGGACAAAAGAAATTCTGAAACCATTTATAAATCAGGCTGAATCCTAGAAAAATGTCTTTTTAAGCAACTTTAAAAAACAGATAAAGAACAAAATAAAATAGATGGCCAATCACTTTTAAAAATGTAGTTTCTTCGAAATCAAAGGACATACTTACCCAGTAGTACAACCTTCAAACATTCCAGTTTTTATTAAAAATGGGCACACAATAGTGGTTTTGATCCCCGTTTGTTTCCGGACAAATGTTTCTACGAATACAGATTCAGCAAATCCAAAGGCTGCAAATTTACTTGCACAATAATCTGAAAAAGACAAACAATGCTAATGTATATTCTAAAGCCTTTAAATGGCATTACATGAAGTTTTCTTCAAAACACTCATACCAACAGGGAATGGGCCAACAATCTCAGGTTCTTATTTGTATGATCTTGGGCTGCTCCCACTGCAAGAAGTGAGGAGCCAGTGGGAGGAACATGATCAGTCGATAATGACCAAGTGGACTCAGGAGAAGCGGGGCTGTGGGGAGCCTCCTGCGGGTCACACTGCTAGACCCTATGTCCACGTTAATGAATGGCCAGACACTGTGCTAGCTATTACATGGGGCACAAGATGTCCAGTCCCTGTCCCAAAGAACTTCAACCCAATCAGGGCAGGAAGACACACAAAAGAAGAAATAAAATAATAAGTGATGGAGGAATCTCGGCAGGAGAGGTCAGTGTGGGTTGTGACACTCCTATCAAGTTTTCTTCCAACTCTAAGCCTTTCTTCCACTTCCAGAAGAAAAACAAAGGACTCAGTAGCTTCAACTCAACATCTGAAATATCTTGCAAATGCAGGGGCCTGGAAAGTGGCATTTATGTCAGTTTTGAGATTTCTGTCTTCAATCCCACTCATTTCAAGTAAACACCTGAATAGCCAATTTGCCGAATGGACAAGTTTGGAGAAGAAAAGGCATTAAGGTAGACTTATTCTTTCCTTCACCTCACACAATCAAAGAGGCATACTTACTTCTCTGTTGAGAAGCAGCTACTACAACTGGCAAGAACCAGGCTACAAGTGCCAGGCATGGGGTTGTTGGGCCCTGCTCTGCCCAAGACAGTGGGTAAGATGTTAGAGGGAGGCAAGGGGGGAGAGGGGGTCCTGAGCCCCTCAACCCCTGAGATTCAGATGAGCAGATATGGCCCAGGACCCAAGGAATCTGCATTCTAAATAGCATCCCTAGTGGTTCTGATGCAGAGGAGCCGAGACCTACACGGTGGGAATTACAAAAGGTTTACATTTTACTAAGGTTTTTTTCACTTAGGTGAGCTGGGGGTGAGAGAGTCTTGTATCTGAAGATAGAGATATTATGTCAGAAAAAGGATTAATAGGAGCTGTAAATACACCTGTATCATTTCAAATTTCCATGATTTATCAGACATATAAGAAAGAGGTAATAGTAAGACCTGATGAATTCTAAGAAGGATAGAGGCAGGGAAGTCCAGGATACAGGGAGACGTGTACAGACTGGTCATATTTTGGGTGACTGGTGGTTTTGAAAAACCTAACCATGAAACTGAGATGAACTGTGTTTAGATCAGTGTTATGAATCTTGAACTATGCTGCTCAGCTCAAAAGCATTGCGAAGTACTGAATCGGCAAGCCGGCCCATCTGTTATCCGAGTGCTGCAGCTAGGGTTTCTGATGGATGAATGTCAGGGGTCTGTGTAAGCCAGGACACAGGGCGTTTGCTCCAAGGGACACCCTGGTAGGTAAGGACAAGATTTCTGCTCTGCCTAGGGCCAGCTCCTGAGTTGGGCTGCCTTCACCAAGGATCTTGGTGTATCTCTTTGCCCCCTCCCCACTGCTAACGTCAAGTCAGTTGCAAGGGAGATGGAAATGACAACCACTTCCTGTAAGTCTTTAACCAGTGGAAAAGCAAAGAAGTTAATTTTAGGTTTCTTGGGGTAGAGAAACTTTCTCCAAACTCACAAAACAGGGAGACCACTTACCTGAAAATTCAGAAGGCACAGTAGTCCTTCTTACAATCCTGATAACAGTGCCAGGTGAATTGTGGAGGATGGTGACTGTGCTAATCTCTTGTGTAAAAAATTTATCAGTAAAGTTTCTCTCTTTCTCTTTTTTTAAACCCAGGGGATTGCATAAGACCTAATGATTCCAAAGTGCATACTGCAACTTCATCTATGTATATCTGATAGGCAGTTTTGCTGCACAATGAAGTTTTCAATCACTTACCTCATTAAATATACTTCTTAATTTATTACCCTTTACCATTAGTACATCAAGTCAATGCTGATTATTCAGAGCTATAACATAAGTTAAAGTTATAAGACATTTTGCAATTGTAAAATATTACATTTCTCTTACCTGCCAGTCCATTTGCTCCAATTAATCCAGCCAAACTTGAAATGCAAACCAAATGTCCATGGTTACTAGCAATCATAGCAGGTAGAAAGGCTTTATAAGTCTAAGAAGAGCAAAGTAAAATTTTTAACATTTTATACCATATTTCATACTTTTCTCAGATGTTTACATGACCATTGTGATTAAAAAAATTTGGGGGTGGGGGGGCCAGCCCAGCAGCGTAGTGTTTAAGTTTGGTGTGCTCTGCTTTGGTGGCCCAGGTTTGGATCCCAGGCATGGACCTACACCACTTGTTGGCAGCCACGCTGTGGTGGCAACCAACATACAAAATAGAGGAAGACTGGCACAGATGTTAGCTCAGGGACCATCTTCCTCAAGCAAGAAGAGGAAGGTTGGCAACAGATGTTAGCTCAGGGTGAATCTTCCTCAGCAAAAAAAAAAAAAAACAAAAAACCATTTTTTAAGCTCAGAAAAATACCTGAAGGCACCGGGATATAAAAACTTAAACATCTGGAAGTAATCATCTTAACTTGTTTAACTTGTTAAATCAATATTTTCCTGATAACAATTCCAGTAGTATTAAAAATAATTTATTCAGACATATTTTGCTCATATTTGACTTTAAAAAACACAATATTAAGACAATAATTGAAGCAGTATAGGAAAATCTTAGTTGTGGCACTCACAATCCAGAAAGGAAAGGATATGATTATTTAGACTATAATCAAGGATATGATCATTTAGATTTATATTGCCTTTTTTTCCTCCTTGGATCACATTTGGATTTCACATTTTTCTGAACATTGCTCACAGGACATGTTGCTGTTGGCTTCAGTTTAAAAATATTAGTTTGTTTTTAAACTCATGTCTACTTCTTTGAGTAACGGTTTATTTTTATTCCTTGTCATAAAAAAGAGTATCTGTTAGACAAAGCAGACATATACTGGGTCTCAGTCTATAGAACACCTTCACCTTCGATGTGGGATCTGGAGAAAGAAGGTAGAGGAGAGAGAAATGAGCTTTGGGAGAAGATGTATTCTGCAACAAAGAAATAATTAATCAAATATGAATAACTGCATACTTATATGACATAAATTTATATTTCGTATTTATTCTGAAATATGAATAATAATGATGTAATAAAATTTTATATATTGAGGTGTATGGGGAAGCCATTCTTTTTTTGTTGAGGAAGATTAGCCCTGAGCTAATATCTGTTGCTAATCTTCCTCTTTTTGCTTGAGGAAGACTGGCCCTGAGCTAACATCTGTGCTCATCTTCTCCTATGTTGTATGTGGGTCACCGCCACAGCACAGTGGATGAGTGGTGTAGGCCTGTGCCCAGGAACCAAACCCGGGCTGCTGAAGCAGAGAGTGCCGAACTTAACCACTAGGCCACGGGGCCAGACCCAAGCCATTCTTTTTTAAACCTGATTTGGCCTAAATTTTATTTAAATCAAAGAAGCCTGACTTATAGTCTGTCAAACATTCACTGTACATTTGTTTTAATCATTATCCCCAAGAAAAGAATGTCCTCTTTGAAGATAAGAATTGATGTCTCCCTTCTTATGACACCAGTACTTTTTGAAGGTAAGTTGCCCTTCCCATGATGCCAGGGTCATGTTGATCTGCTGTGTATGTGCTAATCTGTAACAAAACATCTCCTTGAATCCTTGAAAGAATGCATCCCTGTTGTGCTTGATGTATGTCTTTTTGTTTGGAAATGGTATATAATGGTGCTGAAAACCACTCTTTTTTGGAGTACTTTGTTCCTTTGCAAAGGCTGCATTCCCAGGCGATAGTCTTCAGCTTGGCTGGAATAAACCTCTTTGCTATAGAATGATAATTGATTATTTGCATTGACAATATGAATAAATATGAGAAAAGGGATCTCTTATAAAACTCAAATAACCTGTTTGTCTGCATTGCAATAAGTTTCAAAGAGAAACTAGCATATAGAGAGAGGTAGAAAATCAAAGCTAGCAAATAGTGCAGTATAATAAAAACACCCTGAGTTTCCACGGCCTGTGGTGAGTCGCCTCCCTTCTCTGTGTGGATACTCCTCTTGGGAGCCCGGTCACTATGAGCTCTCTGATCCACTAGCAATTAAGTGCCTAGTCCATGCAGGGGCTCAAAAAATGTATGTGAACTTGCCCAGAAGGAGCATATAGGATGAGAGGAGGCGAGGGGATGACAGGGGCCAGGGAAATGCCAGCAGTTCAGGAACAACTAGAAGAGAGGAAAAGGAGAATGAGGAGACCATGGAGAACGCAGAAAAATAGAGGTGGGAAAAGAACACAAAAGCTACGGGTGTGGAGACCTTTAAGGAGACCATGTCTTCATCCTGACCATATATGCTAATGAAGGAGACAGACATTTGGGACAAGACAATAGAAATCACTTGCAGTAGTTCCTAAAGGAACATGGTGGCCACATAGTTCTGAATCTTTCCATCTTTTTCCTGAAAACTAGACAGAATACCAAGAATGCCACTGGCACCATTACACTTTTGGTGAAACTAGGGGACAGAAAATCTACAAACTCCAAATAACATTTAAAAGCTGCCAAAGGAGAGCTGGGTGGGGCATCCATCTAGAGAGGTGTGAGGAGAATGGAGGGGGATCTCAGAAATCTCCAGCAAATACTCACTCCCAGAAAGAGAGAGCTTGCCCAGGGAGGGACGAGCTGTGAGCAGGGTGGAATGAAAAGGGCCCAAGAGCAGGGAGAGGCAGAACGGGGGCAGGGGCATGGCGTGGGGAGGCCTGGCACGACAGGTCCCAGCAAAGGCCGGGAAAATGCAACGTCTGAAAGTGGGCACATCACCTTGGAAGTCAGGGGCTGTGCCCCGAATGTCTGTAGCACATAGTCACCAGGGCGACTAGTAGAAACCCTCCTTTCCCCGGTTAGGTACTGAGTAGGGTGACTGGACATCTTGGTTTGCCCAGAACAGACCTGATGAATGCTTGCTTATTAACAATGCCTCCTTTCACCTTCAAAAGAGTCCCAGCTTAGGCAAATGATAAGGTCACCCTGGTCGTGTCTAAGTGTGGCCACTTGCTGTGCAGCCTTGAGCAAATCTTTTAACTTATATGATCCCTTATCTCACTGAGCTGTTTTAAGGATTATACATGAGGTGCTTAGGATAGTACCCGACATAGGCTGGCCATCAATAAATGACAGTATGACCACGAGGACAGTTATGTCTTTGTAGGATTCCCTGAGCAGAGGCCCTGGGAGGTGTAGGTTAAGTTGGATCAGGAGAGGATGACTAGGTAGACCAGGACAAGTCTAAACTCGAGAAGTCTGTGCTTTATTTAGAGGCTAATACCATTGCAAGAGAACAAGAGGAAGGTCCTTCTAAATGTCAGAGTAACTTTATATTTATTATGAGAAGAAAAAATAATTACCCATAAATGTGCTTTGAAATTCACATCGAAAGACTTTTCCATAAGCTCATCTGGGCAGTCGAGGAAGTTTTTGCCAGTTACGATTCCGGCATTGTTGATGAGGATGGAAACATCGCCAACTTCTTTTTTAACCTGAATTGAATAATAAGAACAGCATCACCAATGGAGTTATTCCTTATATGATCTAGGTTTGATTTTGCCATAGTTTTTATCCTTGTTAACTTAGGTTGAGTTTACGCACTCTAAAAACAAAGTATGTTTTATTTCCTTTGCTGAGATTACAGTGCACCAGTGATCCACGTCTGATGCTTTTCATCTCATTTCTTCCCCTCTTATGATGGTGCCGACACTGCAGTGCTGCTTTCCTTCTGCAGTGAGAGCTATTCTGACACTCAGCGATTAGTAATTTTGTTCTATGCTGTATAACTAGTGCATCATTTTAATAATTGCAATTGGATATAAGAGATTATATCCGCGTCATAAATTGAGACCTGGCACACACTGAGATGAGGGTGGAGTAGGGAGTGAACGCAGGAACTATGATATTCATATACATGTTTTAAACACACAGCGTAGCTCAGAACCCGTCCGTCCTGTTTTCATCAACTGTCTGGTGTGGAAATTAATGAACAGAAACCTCACTAAATTGGAGTCGGGAGGCCAAAAGGGGAGCTCTCATGCCCTAGGTTGATAGCAGAGCCCAACAGGAAGAAGAAAGACTTCCTCTTCTTGACCAGCAAGAAGCTCAGCCAATGAGAGGCTGTCACAGCTCAGCCAATGAAAAGTCACTACACTACACTACACTACTATTGTCTTCGTTGACAACAGCCCTCGTAACTTCCTCTTCCCCTCTGTAAAAGAGCTTCTCCTCCCCTGCTGCTTCAGGACTTGCAGGTGGCTTGCCATGGTTGCAGACTCCGAACTGTACTTTTTTGCTGATCTCAAATGAATCCATTTTTGCTGGAGAAATAACTAGCTGTCTATTTGTCTAAGGTCAACACTTAGGTGGCCTGTAAGGGGCTCAAGAGAAGACTCCTGAAGACTCTGAGGCTGGTGAGCAAACAGGTGTGGTACCCACAACAGGGCCCATTGACCTCTCTGCTTTTCTTACTGACCTTAAACTTTGAGGGTAAGTCTTTCTCCTGGATCCGACCCTCTGCCTTGTGTGGGTTTGAAGCTCTCCAGGTTTTGTTATCTATTTTAAGGCTTCTTCCTTTTCTGGTTAAGGCCTTGTTTGTCTGTGAGTACTCAGGTGGCACTTCAGCCTGACCCTGTTAATCAGGCTGTTCCTTGGCACTGTGGTAGCCTTCGGTCTGATTCCTTTTGGAACTGGACTGTTGCTACTATAACTGTGCTGGCCTTCAATCCAACTGTGGGATGGTTCGTTGGAACCATGCCGGTCCAGCCTTTGGCCTGACTCCCTTGGGAGCAGACTGTTCCTTGAAGATGCGGTGATCCATCTTGGGTCCGATTCCATTTGGAACCAGACTGTTCTTGGGAACCGCGTTGATTTGACCTTCAGTCTACCTTACTGAAATCAGACTGTTCTATTGGAACTGGCTGGTGTTAAGCCCGCAGGTGTGAACTGTTCAAGCTGTTTAGGCTGTTTGAGAATTATTCCTTTGGTCTAAAAAAACACCCTAAGAAATGAGATCCCAGTTATCTAAATATTTTGAGGGTACCCCCTGCCCCTACAGAGATCCAAGCCAATTTTATGTTGAAAAACTGTGGTCATTCCTCAAACGCATTTCTAACTAAATGGACTGACTTAAGCAAAAGTAATTTGGAATAACAACGGCCAATACGGGAAACTTCTCAACTCCCCAAACGTATTTTTGTTAAAACTCAATTGGACAACCCTAGCTCTGTAATTTCCAAAACTGAATGGAACGCCTATATCTATTGTTATTTTGAGGCTTCCAAACATTATTAGGAGTCTAAAATTGCCCCTTAAATTTTAAGATTAACTGAGGCAAACAAATGATTAAAGAAAGATAAAATGGCTTCTGAAGCCTCATGTTCCCCTTCCTCGGTTTCTTCATCTCAGGCTCCACCTCTGGGGCCATCTTCCTCCTTCCTTTCTATACAGTTTACACTTCCTCTATATCCTCAGTCACCCCAGACTAACTCTCTCACTGAACTTCCTCTTTTCCCTGAACCTCTCGCACTACCTCTTCCTCCAAACCTATCAGAACCTGTCCCTTTAAAATTAAGACTTCTGAGGATCCAAAGGTTAAATAAACTCTTTATTTCTTATACTCCCTGGACTAAAGCTGAACTGCAAGCCACAGTCAAAGATTTTCCCAAAGACCCTTGAAGATCCTCATCAATTTGCTGAACAATTTAGTATAGTCATTGAACCTGGTTTCTTATCAACCTGGTTTCTCTGACTTATATCAGCTAGTTCATATGCTTGTCAGTGAAGGCCAGGCCCACTGGATGAAAACTGCTAATTGAGAAAATCCTAAAAGGTCTCTAGAATTACAGCCAGGAGACCAACCCTCGCACCTGTTGTATGATCAGGCTCAGGGAATCGCCAGACAACTTCACTGGGCAATTCCTAGGGCTTTCTCAAAGCCTGTTGATTGGGAACAAAATTGAGGCTTGTGCACAAAAACCTGATGAACCTGTTTATGACTGTTATAATCAACTCCAGACTGTTTTCAAAGAAAATTCTGGTCTTCCTTCAGATGTTGATTCTACCCAGGTAGCTTCTAACTCTGTGTTCATTAATGGGCTGAACCAGGACATTTTCCTTCTAGTAAAAAGGACCAGGATGGAATGGCAAACTACTTCCACTCCAGATTTAGTTAATCTGGGAAACCAACTCTCACACTCTAGAGCAGTCACCTAAGGAAAGACGGCTAAAATTCTCAATCTTCAACTCCAGCAAATGAAGGCCCCTAAACCAATCTAAAATTCTCCTAGTTTCTGCTATTACTGCAAAGAACCAGGATATTGAAAAAGAGATTGTTACAAATTTAAATACTTCAGGTGCCTTCAGCCCTCTAACCTTTCCAATGTCCTACAAATTCCCAATGACAGGGCTCTGAGGAACTACAGGGGCTCTTCCCAATCCTCCCTCTGAATCCGCTTGGAGAAACATTTCTCCAGATTGAAGATGAGTCTCTTTCTGTCCTAAGTGACACTGGAGCCACATTCTCAGTGCTCAACCCCACTACTATAAAGCAGCCCCTGCCTTCGAGTTCTAAAACAGTTCAAGTAGTGGGGATCTCTAATAAACCTCAACAGGTTCCTGTCTCTGAACCTATTCCCTTTTGTTTAGGCCCTTTGAGAACACAGACCTTTATCTCCTAGGTCCCTTCACCCCCTATTCATTTATTAGGCTGAGACTTCTTGGAAAAGTATCATGCCGGAATTTCTTTCTCCCGAAAGGAAGAAATAATTCTAGAACTTGACAGTAGTTATCAAAATGGCCAACCAGGTGAATTAAATGATCCTTTGACATCTTTTATTTGCTCCGCCACTGACGGTACTAGAGCTGATTCTGGAGACACTGATCATTCGTCCCTATTGAATCAGCTACCACCCTCCTTATGGGCAAAATCTGCAACTGATATATTGGCAAAATTCACAGTGCTCCTCCCAACAAGATTCAAATCAATTCCTCAAAACCTCCCCCTGGAATTAATCAGTACCCTATAAGTAAAGAAGCCCTTCAAGATATAAAGCCCATAATAGAGGATTACAAGGCTCAAGGCCTTATTATCCCTTGTACTAGCCCCTGTAACACTGCTATTTTACCTGTGAGAAAACCCAAGGGCCAAAGGCAGAGGTTTGTCCAGGACCTCCCAGCAATAAACAACATTGTTATCCCTCCCTCCCGTTGTTCCTAACCCTCATACACTACTAACATCCATTCCCACTGGGAGTAAATTCTTTATGGTAATTGACTTATGTAGTGCATTCTTGAGCATTCCAGTTGATGAGGCTAGTGTCAATACCTTTCTGCCTTCACTTGGGAAGGAAAACAATTCACCTGGACAGTCATGACTCAAGGTTTTACTGAGAGCTTTTCTTAGTTCTCACAAATCCTGAAGGCTGATCTGGATGATATAAATTCCCTAGGGGTTCTACTTTGCTGCAATGTGTGGATGATCTGCTTCTTTGCTCTCCCTCCCAACTCTCCTCATAGGAAGACAGCGTCCACTTGCTAAAGCTTTTAGCCTTAAAGGGACATAAAGTCACCAAGGAGAAACTGCAGTTTGCCCAAACTCAGGTTCAATGTTTAAGGCATCTGATATCATAACAAGGGCTACATCTAGATCCAGATAGGCTTTATGGTGTCCTAAGTTTCCCCAAACCAAAAACCAAGTGCCAGCTGCAAGGTTTTCTTGGGCTAGTTGGTTATTTGCCGAAATTGGATTCCAAATTTCTCTCTTATGGTCAATCCTCTGTATGTTTTATTAAAGAACAACAGCCCTGATTCAATTTTATGGGAAGAACAGGAAGACATAGCTTTTAAGGCCTTAAAGGAGAGTTTGATGAACCCACCTGCTCTTGGACATCCCAATAATCAGATTCCCTTTTTCCTTTTTGTGTATGAAAAGGAAGGGAATGTCCTTGGGGTACTCATTCAAAAACACAGGGACCACCATCGGCATATAGGGTATTACACCAGCAACTGGACTCTGTGGCACAGGGATACCCCCATGCCTTAGAGCCATTACTGCCATGGCTCTTTTGGTTAAGGCCACCAAGAAAATTGTTGTGGGATCCTCTTTAACCATTATTGTGCCTCATGCAGTAGAAGCCCTCCTGAATTCTCATCACACTCAACATATTTCAGCCAGCTGCCTCACCTCCTATGAAATCCTTTTGTTAATTGCTCCTTACATAACTCTTTTACATTGTAATAACCTTAACCCTGCTACTCTTTTCCCCTCCATTACCCATGAAGTCCCTCATGACTGCTTAACGCTGATGGATCACCTCCTAACGATGATCTGCAGGAAACTCCTTTGGGTAACGCTCACTTCTCATGGTTTACTGATGGTTCTTATTTAAAAGGTGCCGATGGCAAATACTGTCCTGGGTGTGCTCTTGCATATCCTTTTGATATCGCTGAGGCAGCACCTTCACCTATGGCTACTTCAGCCCAACAGGCTGAA